GTGTAAAAAAAAAAAAAGAGAGAGAGTATGAAAAGCAGAATAAAATGGCTTACTTTTTGTCTACGCCTTTAACGAATGCTGAAATTACTCGCGCCTGCGATTTTGGAATACAACATACAAGATATCAAAACCAGTCAACATACATGCATCTCCGATAACTTTTTTGCTTTAAATCACAAACCCGTCTTTTCTTCCAAATGGTCGACTCACCTTAAAGTCAGCACACCCAGCTGCCAGAAGCACATTATTGGGATGCCAATCTAAGCACAAGACGGTACTCCTGATCGGCTTTTTCAAATGTTTGCTAACCCACCAGTCATTATCGCTCTCAAAGTAACAGATCGCAATCGCGCGTGCCCCTGAAGCAACCGCAAATTTGTCCTCGTTAGGGGACCAACGTACACAAGTAGCTGCACGGTTTATACGGAGAAGAACCAAAGTAGGTTTCCATTTGTTGGTAATTGGATCGAGGTTCCAGACGTAGGCATTGCGGTCTTGCGAACAAGTAACTAATGCAAAAAATTAAAGTGAGTTTGAATTACGAGAATAGTAACAGACACAATGACAGTTTGAGTTGAATGGGTATCTTTTAAATCTTAAATGCATAATCCAAATTGATAAATTATCTAACGTTTCAAATTCATTTCGGATTTCATATATGTAGGACAATATAAGAACTATAGCAGTTCTATAGATCTTGAATAGAATGTGGTTCCTTACCTATTCGGTTGGATTCTGGAGCCCAATCGATAGACGTGACAAGCTTGTCATGCTGCATTTAGAACCACTCGTATCGTCAAATTGCACCAATAACTTACTACGCGACCAAAACCTTGCCCCCCCCCCCCCTTCTCCCCTCTCTCTTCCGCACTTCAATTTACACACCTCAAACAAAGAGTGAAGGAGATTCCAAGAATTTCCAATTTTCTGATAAATTTGCACTTCATTATTATTTGGACAAATTGCCACCTCTATCCACAGATACAAAAGAAAAAATAACCGCCGGCATCAGTTCGCCTCATGTCTATTTCGATTGAAAACTTGGAACATATGAACGATCCATAGACAAGCTTACGTGTTCTGTCTCTGTTAAACGCATGCGCCGTAATAGGACCAATGTTCAGTTGATGTACTTCCTGAGTAGCCATTCTCCTCAATTATGCGTAAAGAACGGTTTCTCTATATCGTTATGTGTGCAACTTGCAAAAAGATTACGGTAGATGTTACTGCGGTATGTCAGTATCCAAATTATCCAATAAAAATGAGCCAAAACTGATTTGTCTCTCTAATCTGGAAAAAACCAACTTTTCCTTACCCATTATTATTTTTAACCTGTTTGATCTGTATCGACACAAAAGACTTCCAATGTTCGGAATTGACTTACAAGCAGAAGGAACGCCATATAAAGAATATGTTCTTTACTTTTCCCTGTTAGCCTACGTAGGCGAACAGTACCTAAGGTACATTAAATTCTTCCCAAAATAAAACCTCCCTCACTACCATTCGCACCTCGTTTATTTTATTGTATTTTGTTTTTTTTTTCTTTTTACTTTCTTTTCTCAGTTAACTCCTAACCCCCAAATTAACCCAGTCTTCGTCAGTATCGGAAGCTATGCGAGCCTGATCCTCCAAAATCACTTCAAGACATTGATGAAGTGAAGAAGAAATTCCAGAGTGCCCAGGCCTATGGAAAAGATAGGTTGAAGTTTAGATTTGTATCGGAAGGTTTTTTGCAGCTGCAAACGATGGCATATTTGGTTTTCGATTTATATCCATGGTTGTGGGATGTTTCTGGAAATTGGTTGGCATATGCGGGATATGGAGAGGAATACGAGGTATGAAATACGCATGGAGATATCAAAGAAAAATTGGATCGTGAACCTTTTGAGATTGAATTAACGCAATAACTAAATCAATGTGTTTTAGATCACACAATCGCTAGTTTTTACCGTATTATTCTCCTTGCTGACATGGATCATGTATCTTCCGTTGACACTTTATAATACCTTTGTAATTGAAGAAAGGCACGGATTCAACAAGATGACTTTACGACTGTTCTTCATGGATACTTTGAAGGGATTTCTATTGGCTGGAGTCATTGGTTTGCCCGTGGTGGCTACAGTTCTGCAGATAATAAAGTGGACTGGATATAACTTTTATATATACGTGTGGGCATTTATGTAAGTAAATGTAAGGTTCATATTAATCTTGATGTCATGCGTCTTCGCGGGTGGTAGCGATACTCTATACTATAAGGAATAACCAACGATATATATACTATTGTGCTTTATTTTTAGGTTAGTGTTTAATTTCATTCTGATCACAATATATCCTACATTTATCCAGCCGTTGTTCAACAAAGTAGATCCATTACCTGATGGCCCACTCAGGACAGAGATTGAGAAGCTTGCTTCCAGTATCAATTTTCCATTGAAGCAGTTGTATATAATTGATGGGAGTACGCGATCCGCGCACTCTAACGCGTATTTTTATGGATTCTTTAAGAACAAAAGGATTGTCCTCTTTGATACTTTGCTCGATCAAGTAGAACAAGAGGAGATTCTCGCTATTGTTGGTAAGCATCGTAGAACAATGTTCAATCAAATCTCGCTATCAAAAGATTATTAACTCGTTATTATCACGTCAGGTCACGAATTGGGTCACTGGGCACTCAATCATACTGTAAAAGTCCTAGTAATATCACAAGCACAGATATTCATGCTGTTCTATGTGTTTTCTCAATTCATAAACAATAA